CCCCCCCACCTTGTCTTCTTCCTCTCTTATTCTCTCTCCTCTCCCCTTCCTTCTTTCCTTTTCTCTCTCCCTTTCCACCTCTTTCTCTTCACTCTCTCTTTCCCCCACTCTCCTCTCCCCTCTTTACTCCATTTATCATCATCATCATCATCTATAATCTATCTGTGTTTTACTCTTTCCCTTACACACATCTCTTCTCCTTGATTTTGCATTTTAAATGTTTTTTGTACCCCAGTTATTCTAGATGCCTCTTCCCCCTCCCTTCCCCCTTCTCTTCCCTCTCCCCCTCCCTTCCCTCCTCCCCCTCCCCTCCCTTCCCTCTTACCCCTCCCCCTCCCTTCCCCTTTCCCTTCCCCCTCTCTCCTGGCATAGACACTGGCTCCAGAGATCTTGCCTTGGCATCTGTTTTGGGCCATGTGCTGACTCCATTAGAGATGAGAGCCCTCACCTCTGGATAAGATGGAAAGGGGCCCTTGGGAGTCCTTGCACGCTACTAGCTGCTATGGGAGGTGGGGTAGGGGGTTCTGTCTACTGTTTTGCTCATCCCTAACTCCACTTCCATTTTGTCTCCTGGTCAGAATATTCTGAAGAGGGTGGAAGAGAGCTCTGAACGGGAATGCACAGCCCTGGACGCCCACAAGGAGCTAGAAATGGTAAATCTGCTCATTGGCTGCTCTGAGGCTCCCCTGAGATCCCTTTTCCATTCTCTGCAGAGCACCTGGCTTCCAAACCAAACCGCTCCTGCCGCACTGCCCCTCGACTGGGGGCAACCCTACCCTTAACCCCAACCCCAGGCTCCTCTCCTGGGAAAGTGCTCCAGACCCTGAGGTGGAATCCTCACAGAAACAACTCTACAGATGGTACTGAGGGGTCCCAGGGCTGTTCCTGCCCGGCACTTGCCAGGAGGGATTGGGGGGCCCCTGGAGCCATCATCTAGAGCCTCCATGTTTTTTGGAGCAGACCCCAGTGCAATGCTCAGTGCTGGTGCCCAGGCAGCCACTGGTGAAGGTGGACAGTTCTCAGGCTACAGTGAAGAAACCACTCTTAGCGTTAAAGGATTCCTGAGACTGGGCAAATTAAAATCCCTGAGTATGGAGGTGATTTTCCCCCTGGGGAAACCTTTGTCTCAGCTGCAGCTAAGAAGCTGTGAATTGGGCAGCTTCATCTCATCCAAAATGGCTTAGGTGGGTCGGGCTTTCCTTCCCTCCGGGATCTGTAAATGATCTCATTCCTGTCCAAGATGCAGCTCCAAATCTCCTCCTGGAATCTAGGGAAACGAGGGGGCTCGTTGTTGGTTGTTGGGTGGTGGGCCACTGAGGTTGCCCACCTTTTCTAGGATGGGAAGAGAGATGTTGCAGACTGGAAGCCTGGTGGACACTGGGGTGCCCTTAGCACCCTCACCCTCTCTCCAGCCTCACAAATGCAAGGAAGAAGCAGCCTGAGGGTTGGGCCCATCCCCTGCCACTCCCTAAGCCAAAGAGGAGCATTATTACCCAGTATCCCTGGCCACAAACACACCTCAGCATTGAGACATCCAGGGAAGGGAGAAGGGGTGAAATCCATCCCTGGCTGTCTTCCACTGATTGACAACTTAGGCAGCCAATAATATTGGTGAGAAGAGAAAGGGCGTGGCCTCCTTTCTCCACTGTCAATTCCACTTGGTGCTGCCCTTCCCCCCAGCTTTCTTCTGGAGTCTTGCTACAAAATTCCTGAATGTAGCCCCATATATGTGTGTGCATTGATAGATAGTAAGATACGAGTGTTCACTGTGTGTGTATATCATGTGTGTATACAATGTGTATGTATAGACACAAACATACACATTGTGTATGTATGTATAAATATACACATGTAAATATGGAAGGTGCACGTGTGTGCATATGCAGCTTAGATATGTCATGCTTCATGAACTATAGATGCATTTTAAGAAAACATTCATGGAAATGCATTGTGGGAAACTCTGCCATTATCAGATCTTGAAACATTTTTCTGACTTATACATGACATCACATGCGAACAAATTGGTCACACCTTAATTGGTAGAGACCACAAAGAAAATCAAGTTTGGCTGCAGGAAGCAGAGTCCACGAGGGGGCAGCAGTGGGGCTGCCAGTAAGGCTCCAGATGTCAGGTCTGGGTGGTCTTAGGATGTGGAGTCAAAGCTGCTGCCAAGGCTTAATGGTCCACCGTCCAATCTGAAGGAATAGATTGCTGATTTCCCTCTCATCCGAGCACGTCAGCAGTCAAATAGCCAGAAGACAAGGGTTAGGCTATTTCCCAGGTAGAGTGTCTCCCTACTTCTTGCCAACCTGGGATGACTTGGAGACAGGGACAGGGGAAGTGGTAAGGAGGGAAGACAAGGGATGTACATGTGTGTGTGAATGGTGTATGTATGTATGTGTTTTGTGTGTATATATGTGTTCATGTAGACTATATGCATGTGTGTGTGTTATGTCTAAGTGTGTATGTCCAGGTAGGCTGTGCAGAAAGTGAAGTCTTTGAACACATCTGTGGGTATGTATGTATGTCCCTGTGTGTAAACATGTGTCTGTGAGTGTCTAGCATTCTAATAATAGTCATCATTGTAATAAACATTTATCTAGCACTTTACAATTTGCAAAGTACTTCACTTATGTTATTTCATTTGACCCTGACAAAGACTCAGTAAGGAAGCTAAGGCAGACAGAGGTGAAGGGACTTTACCACAATCACAGCTAGTCAGCATCACAGGTGAGATTTGAAATCAGGTCATCCTGGCTTCAAGTGCTATCTACCCACTATGCCAAGCTGTGTGTATATTTTTGTATATGTATATAGTATATGTATTCTTGGCATCTAGAAATAATCAGAGGAGACTTGTATACGTTAACTACTAGGTCTGGAAATGCCCATTTGGCAAAAGCTTTCAGGAATCTCCTGACCTCTGGGAAGGGTGTTTGGTTTGTTGCCTCAGTCCTGGGAACTCTGGAAAGACCTTTGTGGGAACATGAGCCCGATTTCCACCCATCTGTCACAATGACTGTGGATCCTGCTGAGCCCCCAGCTGACCCAGTCCATGCCAGAGTCCTCCAAGAATAAAGCTTGTTCCCTACTGTTCTATCTTCCTAGGAAAAATGAAGAGCATCCTGTTTTCTCTTTAAAATGTTAGGATGTATGAGAATGGAAGTGATGTTACACATAGATTATTTTATTCTTTGGTGTATTGTACTCACATTCATCTACTTACTCAGTCACCCATTGAGTTATCAGCTCATCCATCCATCTATCCAGCCATTCACCCACCCAACAAACAGAGCACAGTGCCTACTGTATGTGCATGGTAGGAGGCCACATGGCATATTGGATAGAGAACTGACTGTGGGGTCAGGAAGACCTGGAGGTCAAGTCTTGCTTCTGACATGTAGTGTGGCTAAGCGATCCTGGAAAAATCCCTCAGTCTCTCAGGTTGATCTTAATGGCCTTACTAGCTCGAAATCCTGTAGACTTTTAGTTGTAGAAGTGCTATGCCTGGAGTCAGGAAGACCTGAGTTCAGATCCTGCCTGTGTGACCCTGGACAATTCACTAACCCTCTCCCAGTCCTAGTTTTCTCATGTGCAAAATAAAGATAATAATAACACCTAACTCACAGTGAGGATCAAAGGATATAACATATGTAAACCACTTTGTAGACCTTAAAGTGCTATAGAAATGCCCCTGGCAGCTCTCTAAAGACTAAATTACAGAGGAGGTACTAACTGTGTCAGTGGAAAAGATTTCTACTCCAGGAGTATCCCAACTGATGCAATCAGTTCTTAAGAAGAAATAGGCATAATAGCATGGGACCTGGTGCTGGAGTAGATACAAACATCCCCCCACACCCATTCACCAGGGACTTGATAATCTGGTTGAAGTGGTAAGACATAAGATCATACATCAACTGGCCTGAAGCAAGCAGACCCCTCCTCCTGCAGTTGTTGCAATAGTTCCAGGGTCAGGTGATGAGGGTCTGTACCAGGGTAGGGGCAGTGGCAGAGGAGAGTGTATTCTAGGAATATTGCAGAGGTGAAATCAAGGAGATATTTGCTGAGGTGACATTGACAAGAGATGTTGGGGGGGGGGGGTGAAATCTACAAGAGATGTTGCAGAGGTGAAATCAATCAGAAATGTTGTAGAGGTAAAATAGACCAGAGATGTTGCAGAGGTGAAATCTATAAGAGATTTTGCAAAGGTGAAATTGACAGGCCTTAGCAAAGGCTTGGACAAGTGAGAAAGATGAGGAGTCCAGGATGACTCCTAGGTTGGGAGCCTGAGGTACTGGGAGGAGAGTGGCGTCCTCTACAGTAATAGGTAAGGAAGAAGGAGGGGTTGGGGGAAAGATAGTGAATTGGATATACTGAGTATAAGATGTTTGCTGGATATCCAGTTTGAGATAGCTAGAAGGCATTTGGACATTGGATGTCAGCAGAGAGATGAGCACAGAAAAGGTAGATTTGAGAATTATCAGCACAGAGATGGTAACTAAATTCATGGGGGTTTGTGAGATCACCAAGTGAGAGTATAGAAGAAGAGAAGAGGGCCTAAGACAAACTTCTGTGGGATATCGATGGTTAGAGGACATGATCTGGAAGAGGATCCAGTGAAGGAGTGGTCAGAGAGGTGGGAGGAGAACCAGGAAGGAAGGTATCCCCAAAACTGCTAGTCATTTCGTATCTCTGGGCCTCCCCCCATCTATGAATTAAGGGCCCTGGCCTCTCTAAGGTCATTAACATCTCAGCCCCAACATTTTATACTTCTAGGATTCAGGCCATAGGGCCTAAAGCACATTTTCAATTCAACAAATGTCTCTTAAGCACCTGCTATATACAAAGTGCCATGCTAGGCACCAAGAATACAAAGATGAAAACAATACATTTTCTTCGCCCCTCCCCCCAAGCTTACATTCTACTGGGGAAACAAGGAGGGGAAAACACAACCTACATGTAAATAAGAATGAACTGAGATGCGGGGTGGTGAGAGCCCCACCTACCAGGGAAGGGGCCAGGGGATGTTCCACGAATGAAATGGGACGAACTTGGCTCTCACACTGGATCTGAGGCATGAGATCCAAGTTTTCCACTTTGTTTTCATCATCCTTGCTTGTCCTTCCAGTGAAACTTCTCATCAAAATGTATTTTTCTCCCAAGAAGGACAAATATTGACATTCCTAGCAGTAACTCATAGGGTTTTGTTCAATTTTTTTTCTATCATGAACATGACAATTATCAACAAACATTAACATCTCAATATACAAGGGATAAAAAGAGGATTGTTTATGAACACATGGCCTTCTGTTACATACAATTTTTTTAAATGTCTATTAAGTTTTAAAAGGTAGTGACAAAATTGCCACTTAATTCATAGGTTTTTCAGCCTAAGTGCTGCAGCAGTCATGGAATTGACTTCCAGTTTGCTATCAGAGCCAACGGTTCCTTCTGGTTGGTCACACAACTGTCATGGTGGTCTCCACTATCATGCAATGAATGCATTGAGACATTGGAACCCTACTGGAGGGAGGTTGCTGTGACTTGTGACCCCTCTGGGTGTTCTTTTTTCCAGGTGGTAAAAGCATGCAATGAAGGTGTCAGGAAGATGAGTCGGACAGAACAGATGATTAGCATTCAGAAGAAAATGGAATTTAAGATTAAGGTATAGTCGTTTCCAATAAACCTTTCCCAAATGCTGCATAAATAATATAATTTGCTTCGTATACATTTGTCTGCATATTCTCTCCCTTATTAGATTGTAAGCCCCTTGATGGCAGGGATTGTCTGTTGCTTCTTTTTGTATCCTCGGTACTTAGCACAATGCCTGGCACATATTAGGCACTTAATAAATGTTTGATTGATTAATAATATCTCCTAATTTAGCCAGCTTTGCGCCCTGACTGTCCTAAGTGAAGTCCATTCAACATCTCATGTCATATCAGACTAAGCTGAACGAATAGTCAGAATGCTAGCTTTGGTGTGATGCCTTAAAGAACCCCCAATTCACTGCTTCTCTTTTCATTGGAATGCAGTGATTTTGTGTGTGCAAATGCTTTTGAATTTTGTAAAAACTGTTGTGGGCATTGTTTCATTTCACAGAAGATACTATAGGTAGCATTGTCCCCATTGTATAGATGAGGAAACTGAACCCCAGAGATGTTCAGTGATTTGCCCATGTTCACAAAGCTGGTAGGTATTCCAGGTGGAATTTCAAGCCTAGTATTGTTTCCTTGACATTTGAAAGCAATGAGTGAGCATGGAGTCATGAGTTTGAATCCTGATTCTGTCATTTACTACCTTGTGACCTGGATCAATTCACTTCATCTCTCTAGGTCTCAGTTTCCTCACCTGTAAAATGGCCCCTACAGTCCTTAACAGTCCTAAGTTCATGATCCCTAAAGGTGGAGTCACTTTTTGTGAGCCAGCCCACTCTGACCTTACCAGAATGATGTCATCGTCCTGTGACGTAAGGGGTTTGTGACATTGACCCCCTGACCACATATTCTAACCTTGTCCTTTATCTCTTTCTCTCAGTCTGTGCCCATTATATCTCACTCCCGCTGGCTGCTGAAGCAAGGGGAACTACAACAGATGTCTGGTCCCAAGACATCCCGGACCCTTCGGACCAAAAAACTCTTCAGAGAAATCTATCTCTTCCTTTTCAATGATCTGCTTGTGATCTGCAGGCAAATTCCCGGGTGAGTCCAAAATATGAAAAGAGGAAGAAGGCAGATCCTAAAAAGTTCAGCATCCATCCCCAAGAAAACCATGCAACAGATGGTTAAGTCAGTGACTTATGAGCACTTAGAAAGAAGAATGAGTGATCATGTGGAGCCACTCTGGGTTCACTGAGAAGAAATCACGTCAATGCATTTCCTTTTTGACAATCATTCAATAAGTATTTGTTAACCAGCTACTAAGTTACATTCTGCTCAGTGCTGGGGATACAAAGGAAAAAAATGTCCCTGTCCTCAAGGAGCTTACCTTCCATTGGGGCAATACCATGTGCATATATAAGTATATATCATATATTATACGTAACTATTCCATTATTTAATTAATTTCACTAATGTACATAATTTTGTTTAGTATATTAACATCATATTGTTAATATATTATATATTATTATTATTTGATAATAAGCATTAAAATTAATATTATGATAGTTTTATATCTAGTGCCTGGCACATAGTAGGTGCTAAATAAGTTTTTATTGATTGACTTAACACACACACACTCACAAATTAAATCTATATATACAAGGGAATAGGAGGAGTCACTGTCAGCCAGGGGGAGCAGAAAAGGCTTCACAAAGATGATGCTTGAGCTGAGGAAGAAGTGATTGCTAGGGGCAAGAGGTGGGAGATGGACTGTCAGGCAGGAGGAACAGCGGGAAGGCCAGTTTGGAAGGAGACTAATGTGTGGTAAGGCCGGAGAGGTGGGCTGGAGCCAGGTTCTGAAGGACTCACAATGCCAAAATGAGGAGTTGGTATTTGACCCCGGAGGTGACAGACGACCATGGATACCAAGGATGCCGCTCTTGGGCAGTTGTGTGGAGGAGCCAGGGCACTGGGAAATAAATGTAAGGGATGTAAAACAATTTTTTAAGATTTCAATAAAATTCATTTTTAAAGCTTTTTACAAGACATAGGAGGTAAGGCACAAGGTGAAAAGATCATTTGCAAGTGAGGGTAGCCAACAAAGTCTTCATGGAAGCAGTGGCATCCCTTCCATGAAGTGGGGGGGTGTCTACCCCAGTCATGTGAAGACTTGCCCCTTTGGAATGAACAGATGAGAACAGTTTGTTCCAATGGCCGTGAAGGTGCAGTGGAACACTGAGAGCTTGGCCCCTGCATCCCAGGCCATCACCAGTCATCCTGACCTTTGTCCTGCCAGTGGACTCTGGAGGAGAGAGAGAAGCTGAGGACTCTGGGCACCTTACTTACATCTAACTCATGCTCAAGTCAAGACGTCATCCAGACATCACTGGTCCTCTTAGAAGTCAAAGGATGAATGACACAGGAGAGGGTTTTGAGCAAAGGGCTGAGTGACGGGACGTGACCAGAGCAGAATGACGGGCAGGCAGGGCTCCCTGCAAAGCTGTCAGAAAGCTGAGCTGTGTGATCCACGTTCCACGTGTGGAGCAAGGGGAAGCTAAGGAATGCTTAGTCAGCCAATTGTGCCAGGCTGGTGATAGAAAGACAAAAGGGAAGCGGGCCCTGCCCTCAAAAAGCTTACATTCTAGTGGAGGAGACAGTGCATATGAATGTACATTCACGTCCAATGCACAGGAGAATACAGGTGGTTAGGGAAGGAGGGAGGGCCCAGCCGGCAGCTGAGGACATCAGGAAAGGCCTCACGTGGAAGGTGACCCTTGAGCTGAGTCCTAAGGGAGCCACAGATTCCGGGAGGCAGAGGTGAGGAGGAAGGGCATGCCAGGCAGGGGGCCCAGCTTATGCAAAGGCATGGCCACAATGAATAATTGCTATTATTTCCTGCCCCCTTATCCCCAGGGACAAGTACCAGGTGTTTGACTCAGCTCCCCGTGGCCTCCTGCGGGTGGAGGAGCTGGAGGACCAAGGGCAGACTTTGGCCAACGTCTTCATCCTGAGGCTGCTTGAGAATGCGGACGACCGGGAAGCCACCTACATGCTGAAGGCCTCGTCCCAGTGAGTGCGAAGGCCTGCAGGCCCGTCCACATGCTCACCATTCCCTGTGTGCCTGGACATCTTTCCCATCAGAGGCCAGCCAGGCCCCATGGACACACAGAAAATGGCTCCAGGAAATGGGATTTGCCCCATTAAGGAGATGTTTCTGCTCTCTCTCTCCTTTTGGTTGTACCGTGCTTTTTTCCCATTCTCTCCGGCCCCTGAAGACTGACAGAGCAGGTGGAAGGCTGTGCTCAAGGTTGAGAAAGTAGTTAGATAATTATGGAATGGCAAGGTGATAAGGATACCCATCCCGTGCCTTTCTCCCTTCATTCCAACCCTACCAGGAGTTTGTTCAACCCAGCACATGGATTCTTCAGAACCAATTTCCTGTTAAACTTCCCTCACACTCTCTATATTCCAGCCAGACTGCCCCATTTGCTCTTCCCCCTACATATTATTCCATTTCCAACCTCCCTGCCTTTGCACTGGCTGTACCCCATGCCAGAATGCAATCTCCCTTCAACTCTATGGCTTAGAGTCCCTAGCTTACTTCACAGCTCGATTTCTGTTCAGCCTCCCACGTGCAGCCTTTCCTGAGCCCGCAGTATCTGGTGCCTTATCCCTGCCTCACGCCACAATTATTTTGTGATTATTCATCTCTGCAGGTATTTGAGTATAGGGACTGTTTCATTCTTGTAGGAAATGAGGTAACACAGGGAAGAGAGAGCTAGGTCTAGAGTTAAGAAGACCTGAATTCAAATCCTACTTCAGGATTTGAAGCTAGTTAGTGCGACATGGGACAAGTCACTTAACCTCTTTTCACTTAAGTGACTTCAGTCACTTAGCCTCAGTTTCCTCATCTATAAAATGGGGTTAATAATAGCACCTACTTCCCAGGGGTTTTGAGATCAAATGAGATCTACGTAAAGTGCTTTGTAAACCTTAAAAATACTAGATGAATTCTAGTTATTATTGTTTTATTATCCCCAATGCCTAGAACAGTGCCCAGCAAATAGTAGGTGTTTGGAGTACTCGTTGCACTGCATCACGCTGAACTGAATTAAACCAATGTAACAGCCTGCCCGACTCACTTCCCCTCTTTCCTCTCATTGTAGTGGAAAGAGCATTTGGATTTGGGTTCGAATCCCAGCTTTGCTCCTTCCCACCTGTGGACTAGTCTAGGCCTCAGTTTCCTTCTCTGTAAAGTAGCTGGGTTGGACTAGATGCCTTGAAGGTCCCTCCCAGCTGTCCTCATCACCTGCAGCCAGGCTTGCCCGCGGGGACAGGGAAGCACTGGGCTGGACTCAACTCCATCCACCAAGCCTCTGCCACCTTGAAGAGTTGGTCATTTTGGTAAAGCAGGATGCCTGGTTCTCTTTGTCCTACTAGCCCAGCTGCCAGGGCACCCACCCGCACGTTGGGAAGCCCAGGCCTGTTTTTAACCCCCCCCCCATTTCACCTTCCCACAAATGTGACGAGTGTGAGCCGTGAGCACCAGCAGCAATTCTAGGGAAGAGCGTGGAGCCTTGTGATAGGATTCAGAGCTGGGAGAGGCTGAGAATATGGAATGCCCAAGCTCGGAGGAATCTTAGAACAGGAAATGTCAGAACTGGAAGGGCCTTAGAACAGAAGAGGCTCTAGCCAGGAGGGACCTTAAAAGGTAGAATACAGAATATCTGAACTGAGGAGAACCTAGAACACACAATGAGCGAGCTCAGAGGAACCTAGAACAGAGATGGCAAAGCCAGGAGGGAACCTAGACTGCAGATCATGGAATGTGAGAGCTGAAAGGGACCTCAGACGCCAGAGAGTCCAATCCCCTTGTTTTACAGAGAAGGAAACTGAGGCTCATAGAGATGAGGTGACTTCCCCAAAGTCTCACAGGGAATAAGTAGCAGAACCAGAATTTGAACTCAGATCCTCCCCCTTTCCCTACTACTCCGGAGGCTGTTTCCTGGGCCAGGCCATTAGCTGCAGCCCCTCCTGACAGATTGCTTCAGGCAGAAACTGAAGTGAGCATTGTGTGGGGGTAGGATCTGTGACGGGAGCACCCACATGCATCTCCAGTTATTTTTACATCCCATTACATATTGAAGAGGGTGGGTCCTGCTGCAGTGTGGGGCGTAGGTATGTCACCAGCCCCAGAAGGTCAAAGCAAAGCCAGGCGTGGCCCGGGAGAGAAGGCCATGGGGGCAGGGGTGGGGGGGGCACGTCTCCCCAGAGCCGGTGTAAACATGCTGTCCGTGGTGTGTGTCTGCCCTCACAGGAGCGAGATGAAACGCTGGATGACCTCCCTGGCCCCGAATCGGAGGACGAAGTTTGTTTCCTTCACATCAAGACTGCTTGGTGAGCATCCCCAGAAAGCCCTCCGCTTCCTCTCCTCCCCGCGTCCTTTCAAGGGAAAGCTTGGCTTGTGGGTGCCGTGTTGGAAGTGAGTGTCTCTGGTGCCAGGCCCTGAGAGTGCCCCAAGTCGTGCTGAAGATATGTGGAGCGAGGCCTTTATAGATTTATCACTTAAAGTTACATTGATGCCTCTCATTTGTACATCATAGACATCCTTGGATACAAGCCACCATCCTCCTCCTACCAGGGATCTTCTCTTGTATCAAAGGGCTATCCCACAAAGTAACAAGTCTAACATCAGTAACAATGTTTGACATCAGTAACAAGTCTAACATCAGTAACAAGTCTAACATCAGTAACAATGTCTGACATCAGTAAGGATGTCTGACATCAGTAACGATGTCTGACATCAGTATGCAGTTTCCCACACCCATAGTCCTTCACTTCTCCATGGAAAGGAGGGTGGTTTACTCAGATCAGGGCTCACTTTTTTGTGGGTCTCGGACCGATCTGACAGCCTGGTCAAGTCTACAGGACTCTTCCCTGGCTTATATGTTAAAGTGTGTAAATCAGAATGCGCGGGATCACAAAGCAAACCAGTCGCACTGAAACTCATCTGTCAAAATGCCAAAAGCCAAAACTTTGTGGATGCCGGGTTAAGCTTCCCTAACTCACAGTGAGACATCCTTCCAAGTATTCTCTCTTCTCTGAGATTCAGACAGTATTTCAGGGGATAAAGGGCTCCTAAAATCTCTTTATAGGATCGTGCTGTCCGGCCACAGAGAGAGTTTACGTTCTGAAGCGCTGGTCTTGTGTTAGACTGACAGCTTAGTCATGAGGCAGAACTGGTCTTAGAAGACCCAAGTTCGAGTCTTCCCACTAGACTGAGCAGATCCCTTGCCCTCGGTGCGGGTGGCTGCTCTCTCAGGCCAGAAGTATCAGAGAAGGAGTCCGTCTGCGTGGGTAGAGGAAGCATCTTCACCAGAAGGTGCCTATACCATTTGAATGAAATCATTGGTCTGGACCATAATAAGTCTAATGTCCTTTTTAAGGCCTTGAACTAGAAATGTTTTCATGGATGCTTGGGCAAAAGAAGGAATAAATAAGAAATAAGTCAGATACCTGGAAGTCTTAAGGGATGAGACATAGTTCTTGAGACTCAGAGGCAAAGGGCTGAAGTGGGCCACAAGGACCTCACTCTGGCCAGGGTCAGGCAGGCTCCAGAGGCCAGTCGCCCTCTTGGGTTGTCTGCTGTGGGGTTGAAGGCCCTTCACGAAGCTCATGAAACACATAACAATCCAAAGAGTTTTTCTTTCGTAAAAATGAGTCAGTCCTTCTGAGCCCTGGGCCGCTCGACAAATCCCTTCCTCCCTGGCTTCTTGCTCAAGAGCAGGAATCCCACAGAACTTCCAAGGCCTCTCAGGAAGGCTGACCATCCCACTCCTTAAGGGGATCCAAGGCTTTCGAGTGACTTTTGCAGGGGGCGGCGTGTGCCAGTGAAAGGCTGCTGCCACGGACATCCCAAGGCCTGGGTTTGAATCCTGGCTCTGCTTCTTCCTATCTGTTGACCCTCAGGGGCCTCAGCATCTTCATCTATAAAATAAGGGCACTGAATGAATTGACCCCCAAGATCCCCTCCCCTAATAATCTTTGATGTGATGCCAGGACCCCGTGGGCTCTGCAAGCCTCCATTTCCTTGTTTCTAAAATGGGGGTGGACAAAGTGACCTGCCTCGAAGGTCCCTTTGCACTGTGTAGGGTGTCCCATGAGACTTAGCACAGTTTTAAACGATAGAATCTGTAGAAACAGAAGGTGGCTAGGGGGCGCCATAGTGCACAGAGCGCTGGGCCTGGAATCAGGAAGACCTGAGTTCAGATGTGGCCTCAGACACTTACTAGCTTGTGACCCTGGACAAGTCATTTCACCCTGTTTACCTTAATCCAGCTGAGAAGGAAATCACAAACCATTCCAGTGTCTTTGCCAAGAAAACCCTGTGGACAGTATGGTCTACGGGGTCATGAAGAATCAGATCGACTGAGCAACAGCATATAGAAACATAGCTTTAAAATTAGAAGGCACCTCAGAGGTCACCCAGTGAGCTCATTTTACAGATGAAGAAACTGAGGCTCAGTATGATCCTAGGAGTATAGATTTTGGAGGTTACTATTCAGCCTTTTCAGTTTGAGTTGCCCAAGGTCACATAGGTGGTAAGTACCAGAGACAGCATTTGAACCCAGAGTCTCTGACTCCAGAAGCAGGGTCTTTCCACGGGGCCACACTGCCTTCTTGTTAGATGACAAGGCACCTGTGTTCAAATCCCCGCTCTGTGGCCCTGGGGAGGTCCTTCAGACCAGCTCTCTGAAGTGAACCCGAGCCGTCATCTGCCTCCATCCAGGCAACAGGAAGAAAGCTCAGCTTTTCTGAGGCTATTGACCTTGTGACCTGCGCCCCCATTCAAAGAGTTTTCCTTTTCTTCCCATGACTTGGCATTTTATTTGGGCTAGAAACTGTCCTTGACCCTCCCCTCCGCCCGACCCCTCCACAGCACCGGCTCTGACCTGGGTTCAGAAGGCCCACTGCAGGCCGGGCTCCAGAGAATGCCTGGAACATTCTGGACAAAAGCCTCTTCTGTCCACCCTTCCCCCCAACAGACTGTCCCCAGGTGCAGTGTGTCCACCCCTACGTCGCTCAGCAGCCGGACGAGCTGTCCCTGGAGCTGGCCGACATTCTGAACATCCTGGAAAAGACAGAAGATGGTGAGTACCATGCCAGCAGGGAAACTTGCGCCTAGGTCTGTCTATACCGCCCTCATCACACGTCTGTCCCACCCACACCCCATGTCTATACTGCCCTCATTACATCTCTACCACCCATGCCACATGTCTATACTGCCCACATCACGTCTATGCCACCCATCCCCTTACCTTCTGAAAGTGTTCTGGCTGTTACCTTAGTCACCTTCACTATGCTGTCTAGGAGGTGGGGGAGATGACCACTCCCTTTCTGATTGACAGAGCGGGAAACTGAGGCCTGGAGAGGTTACAGAGGGCTTGTCCAGGGGTCACACTGGGGAATGTCTAAGGGAGGATTTGAACCCAGGTCTCCCTGCCTCTAAGGCCAGTATTCTATCCACTGAGCTATACTGCCTTTCAGCATCACACATCTCCTTAAGGACAGAGCTGGGTCTCCTGATTTGCCAGCCTTATGTTCATGGATTGCCCTGATCCCGGCCCCAGCACAGAGAGGCCCCTACTGCTGTGTCTGCTACTGCTTCACCTTGCAGGAAAGGGCGTGGCCAGCTGATTTTTGTTTGAATTGAGATCTGGGCCCTTGCTTTCCTCGGCATAGGGAACCCTGGAGTGCGGGAATTCCCTCCATCAACGCGGATTGGCCGCTGCTCTCAGAGAGCACTGGGCACTGAAGGGTTCAATGCCCTTCCCAGGCTCCAAGAGCCAGCCTCTGTCTTCCTGCCGGTGAGGCCGGCTCTCACACAGCCACCGTGCCACGGACTCTAGGGCAGGATTTGTCTTACTGAAGGCCTTCTTTTCCATTTCTTTCCTGTCTCCGTTAGGGTCCGTGCTCAGGGTCGTGGAGACAAAAATTTTTAAAATGAACAGTCATTAGAGTTAAGGAATTTCCATTCGGGCTGCCATGAGAAGAGAGTATCAGCCCCTTGAAGGCAGGAAGTGTTTCGTGCTTGTCATTGTATTCCCAGTGCTCAGAACAGTGCATGGTATGGAGTGAAAGAATCATAAATGATTATATTTATGTAATGAGGATAATATATTATACAACATAACTGTCATATGTTATATGTAAGATTACATACTAATTATATACTATATTATATACAATTATACGTTAAATTTTATTATCGTTATTAATGCTTGTTGATTAGTGGATAGGAAAGTAGGGGAATTTAAGAAGAAAGAGAAGGGGGGACCCAACAGGGGGGCCAGGGAATCACCAATACAAGTGCCTATTAGGGGCGAAGCACTGTGCTAGGCACAGGGAATACAAAAGCAAGCAAGACAGTGCCTGCCCTCAAGGAACTTACAGTCTATCAGGGGAGGCTACACACACATTTATAAATATATCTAAGCTACATACAAATAGCCCTTCCTTAGGGTAGTCAAATACTCCAAAGTAATCCTGGAGGGGAAGGCACCAGGCAAGGTTTCCTGTGAAAGGCAGAACCTGCTGAGTCTTGAAGGAAGCCAGAGTCTCCAAGAAATGGAGGTGAGGGAGGAGAAGGTTCCAGATGGGAGGCACAGCCTGGACAAAGGTCTGGAGGTGGAAGACGATAGAGTGCTGTGTACAGGAAGGGCGAGTAGGCCCATTTGGTGGGAACTTTGAGTGTAGGAGGGGAGAGGGTGTGTCTTTGTATCCTAAACCGGCCCCATGGGTCACCAGTGTGTCTCATCTGGTTGTCCCTTCTCATTCCCCACTGGCCCTGGGGAAGGTGAGTGATAGGAGGTGGCACCCTGGCATGGTGTCAATTCAGTCATGTGGGCAAAGTGAGGAAGCTGCCTCTGGGGAAGAGTGTGTATGTCTTGTAGCACGTCCTGGCCTTGGATTTCTTGACCAGCTTCGTCTGGGATGGACCCAAGGCCCTGAACGTGCCTGCTTGCCGTTCTCTGCCCGCCCTGCAAGCTTATCAAAGTCCTCTCTAAAATGCGGCCCCAGCACCGCACCCCTGCTCCGGGCGTGGCCCGCTCAGGGCAGAGTGCCAGGGGAGGATCCCCACCCTGCCCCAGCACCTCAGCCTCCCTCAGGGCTGCCCCAGACCCACCACACACCCGATTCAGACTGAGACGCCCTCTGGGCTTTTCACAAAGCAGTGAGTTAGTTTCCTCTCTAGTGCCGATATCTGCTCTGCTACTCACTATTCATGAATCCCTGGGCGAGCTACTTCCCCTTCTTGGGGCTCAGTTTCCCTAAAAAATGAGGGTCCAACTGAAGCCTCTAAGCTCCCTCCACTTCTCGGTCTATGATCCTGTGAGCTCTCTGAGCCTCAGTTTCCTCATCTGTAAAATGACAAGGTTGGGCTGGGTGGTCTCTAAGATCCCTTCCGGGCCCGATACTCTTGGGAGACAGTGGTCGCCCCCTCCCAAACATCTTCCATCGAAGTCTGGATGACCACTCATCAGGGATATTGTAGAAGGAATTTTTGGTCAGGGACGGGACAGACAACATCCGTTCCAACCTTGGGACGACGTGAAACAGAGCCATCCCTATGTAGAACGGGCCACCCTGACGGGTAGTGAGCTCCCCATCACTGGAGGTCTCCAAGCAGAGGCAGATGATAATTTTGCCGGGTTGGTCTGATGGCCGCTGAGGTCCCTTGGGTCTGCGGTAAGCCAAGCCCTCCCTGTGGCTGATATTTCTCGGTCACCTGCGCCCTCTGCTGGCTGCCTCATGCAATAGCATAAAACCGTGACCGCTGAGTTGTTTCCATTCTATTATCACGACTGCCTGGCATCTGAGGCCCATAGGACTTGACTTGCTTGTTTTACTAACTGCTTTTATTTTTCATTGTTAATCACGGCTATCGAGAACGTCCACTGTGGGGCCCTGGAGATCGTCGAATCCTAGTTTCATAAATGAGGAGATTTGGGCCAGAAAGCCCGAGTGCCCAGGCTGGAAGGGAGCTAGCTCAGAGACCCTCTAGTCAAATCTCATTTTACAGATGAGGAAACTGAGGCCCAGGGAAATGAAGTAACTTGCCCAAGGTCACACGTGTCAGAGGTCAGATTTGAACCCAGGTCCTTTGAGGCCAGGACCCCTTTTGCTAATAACACACAAACTCATTCACTGTCTATACTGGGTATATTATCCACATTTTTTTTCTTTGGCTGGGCTTCTAATTCCAAAACTAATTCTCCCTCTACTTCCCTCCATAGCTGGGCTACAAAATATCCTATTCGGCTTTCTTTTGTCCCGGATTCCCTAGGTTTTCAATAAAATCTTGTTGCTTTTTTCCCCCTTTCTCCTTGACGTCTTCCTCTCAACCCCATAGGCTGGATTTTTGGGGAGCGCCTTCATGACCAAGAAAGAGGCTGGTTCCCAAGCTCTATGGTGGAGGAGATCATGAACCCCAAGATCCGATCCCAGAATCTCAAGGAGTGTTTCCGGGTCCACAAGATGGATGACGCCCAACGCAGCCAAAACAAAGACCGGAGGAAGATAGGCAGCAGAAATCGGCAATGACCTCTCTCTTCCTCAAGCCCCGACCCCTGAGCCTAGGGCCACTAGGACAGAGAGCAGGTCCTAGGATGCCTGGAGAAAGAGAAAGATTGTTGAGTACAAGGGCTGGGACCGAGCGGTAGAAGGGGCTGGGAGGGGCAGCAGGCAGGGGTCTGATCTTTCCACCTGTGGACTGTGTCCACCCCAACCAAAGGAATGCTGCTGCATTTACTGTGTACAGAAGCCCACCCCTCTGCCCCTCCCCTTCCCACCGTGTCAGGCATTCCTAGTCCTTCTGGCGGCAGATGCAATGGGGGAAGGGGAGAGCAGAGAAATTCCCTTCTTTTGAGCTCATGATTTATAAACAGCAAGCCAGGTGGATTTTCCACCGCACTGCATTACTGCCTTTTTCCCGGCCCTCCGCCCCCCATCCTTTAGTAAGTGTGAGAAACCTTTCACTGCATGGGCATGAGGGGACCCAGACCCCAAGCATTCTCCCCACTCACCCACCCACACCACTTCCCAAGGAGTCCGGAGAGGCAGGCAGCCTTCAGCCACCAGGGACGGTTCCCACCAGTTTCTGAGTTCAAGAACCAGAAGATTTCTGCTATCAACAATATAGTACCATAGAGAAAAAGCATGGCCTGGTGGGGTGTGGTACCTTTAAGAGAAAATGGAAGCCATTATTAGCCCCTAGCACCCAAGAGGATGCCCTGGGAACAGACCCAAGTGCTCTGGTATTCGCCTTGGGGTGGAAATTTGGGCAGCACCCAAGTCAAGTATGACCCATCACTAGGTCATATTTGTGTAGTAGAATGATGCTCCTTCCAGGCCCCCTCCCCAGCATGCCACTGCCCCTTCCACAGAGGGGGCTCTTACCTGCCCCCGTTTCTGTTACTTGTGGAGACGCAGAAAAGTCACCGAGCCCAGTGCCCCCGGTTGGCCACGGGTTTCCCCAGGTCCGAATCAGGCACCCAGGAGGAGGGTCCGAACCAGCTCCTCTCTCAGGGTTTCGTGGCTTGTGGGACCCCCTAAGGGGACGGGCTGGTGACGAAGCCATGCTTCCTTCCGCTATGCTTGGACGTGCCTCGTAATGAAACAACTGACCTGGAGGAGACGGGCACCTCTCCCCTCTCTCCAACACGAAGGACCAGTCTTTGAGACCCCAGGCTCAGCTGCAGGCTGGCCTTCTCACACGTGGGGATCCCACGTCTAAGGGACTGTGGATGTGACGCAGGATCGCATGACCACCCACGCATGTTCTGACCTTCCCGGGGAGGGGACGGCCCTGGCTTGGGGTGCACGTCCACCTGCCGCTCTGAGCCATCTGCTGAGGGGAGAAGGCTGTGGCTTAGGGTTGAGGGGACAGAGCCTGTTGGGAGGACAACGGGATCAGCCGGTCCACAAGCAAGTCTGTTGGTTCCTGCCTCTCCTTGCCACCCATGTATATTTTAAATGCCTTTTTTGTTTCATAAAATACATTACACATGGTGAAATTCGTGTGAAGTTGGCAAAACTGGGATGGGGAATCGGGGTCCCTTGGGTCAATTTCGAGGGTGGCTGGACAGTCCAAAGTACATGGAATAATGGGGGATCAGGAAGGTTTCCTGAGCACCAGGCAGCTGGGGGTAGCCTGGGGGTGGGGGGAGGACGAACACAGAACATCCTGAGGACAGATCCCGAGGGAGAAGGGTGAGGACCTTGTAAAGGGGATGATGAGCCCCAATGTCCCCGCACCTGGACATTCAGGCGCCTTCTGGTCTCACCTGGACCTGAACCAGACTCTGTGTGCTGCGCCCTCCAAGGAGTCATCTGGCCCCTACTGGAAGATTGGTGGGGGGGGGGCAAGAGCACCCAGCCCCCTGCCCACCCCTCCCATGGTTAATTAGGAGCACTCCCCCTCCCCTCAGACTTTCACCTCTAAGCTCCCTCCACGAGTTCTTACAAGGTTTGGCCTCCTTTCCTCATCCTGCCTGCTCTCTTCTGGGTGTCCTCCTGGTATGCTCTTGTCCTTCCTGCTATGCAGTATTCATTTCCGGATTAATTAGTGATAATAATATCTAACTAGTAGCTGGACCCTCACTTCCTACATTGTGGATGGGAATGCGCTGAAGATCTAACAAATCAACCAATGAATAATCATTTATTAAGCACTTTCCATTTGCTTTTTGCTAAGCACTAAAGACTCAAAAAAGACAAGAACCAAAACCAATCCCTGCCCACAAGGAGCTTACATTCTAATGCACTCCTCTGGCACCTGTGGGGTGCATACTGAGCTTTCGGTCCACTTACCCCACCAGATCTTTGTCAGATGAATTCTTCTCTAGCCCCATCTCAGGCGTTTTTGTTTTGTTTTTTTAATATAAGTGTAGAAATTTCTGTTTATCCATATTTAATGTCATCTTATTCTATTCAGTCCCTCAAAGTTTTCTTGGATCTCAACTCTGTCAACAATAATAGTAGTAATAACAGCTAACAATTATGGAACTCCTTAAGTCTTGTGAAGTACATTACACACATATATGTATATACATGTCCCAAATACATACATACATACATGTGTCCCAAAGTCTCAGGATAGTGTTTAGCTATTAGGGTTTCTGAGACCTCATCTCCTCTCACTTAGTCACCATTGTCATCCACTGTGTTAGGAATTCTAGCTTTCTGCCATCTGCAACGTTGACACGCGTGATCCCTGCCTTCATCTAGGTTTGGCTGGAGCCGGGGAAATACGACTGGGAAAATTGACTGGGGCTACATTGTGGAGGGCTGGCGGGCCCTGAATGCCAGGCCAAGGAGTACAGACTTTTTGTCATAAGCATAATGGTGTTTATGACAATATTGTTACACTTGGGGTTGGGTTTTTTGTTTGTTTTTTACTTAAAAGCAGTTTTCAAGTAAGTCCGTAAAGCTACCTGGAGGAAGCAGCCGGGCGCACCAGACATGCGCCCCAGGTGGGGCGGTGGGTGGTACAGGGGTGGAGGGGCGGTGCCTCTGTACATTCGTGCTTGTAAGAAATGGGGCTGGGAGTAGGGTGGAGCGGGGAGAGTCAGAAGGACACCCTGCCTCCTAGAACATTGTAATGTGCAATATTTGCCTGAATTTGTGATGCAAGCCCCATCAGGGGCTTCTTCTGGGAAAGGAAAGATGGGAAAGTAGCCTTGGAGAACCAGTTCAGTGGAGAAAAGTAGCTCTCAGGGTATGGGTGGTTTTGCTGCTATTTTAATACTGGTGTTATAAAGTCCTATCCCAGTTCGTTAATTCAATTAGATAAACGATTCGAAAGACATTTATTAAAGCCCTACTACCTGTACTAGGTGCTCTACGAGGTGGGGGACACAAAGATGGACAGGAATCAGTCCCTGCCCCGAAGGAGCTTCCATTCTAGCACTGGGGGGAGGGGCCGATCTGGCTTAACGAGTTCAGAGAGATCCTACACAGTGTAAAAGGGAGAGGGGCAGGACGCCTTGGGGAAGCTTTAGGAAGGGTAAGAGGCTTTCACCTGGGGGAGGAGACCCCAGGGAGGGAGGGGGTCAGCAAACTTGGGGAACAGTTGGGAAAGGCGGGCCAGAGCGGAATCGTGGAAGCCTGTGCGCTTTATCCAAAGTGAGCCTCGGGAGGTTTTTGTTAGCTCGAAAAAGGTTTTTCCAGTTTGTGGAGGAATCAGGACAACGGGGGCATTTGGGCCCCTTCCTTCGACGGCCTCCTGATCTCTCGGGCCTTCCGACATCTGCCCTCTTCGCTGCTCCAGCGAGGACCAGCCCACTCTGGGTCAGTGCTTTGGAATTGGACTTCTGCGTTGAAAGGAGAAGCTTCCCAGGTGAAAACCGGCTCAACCCAAAGGCCAGATCCCCATGGCACTCGCTGGGTCTGTGGTGCAGTGGCAGTTCCGCATTCTCAATACACGCTATCTTCCCCTTGATTTTTTCAGCCATGCAAGGGTGGCAGTTCGCCGATGACATCGAAGTCTTAGGTTTCACTGATTTCCCTTTTCTTCCTAACTTTGGCTTTGATTCCTTTGTGTAAGGATTTTCACCTGTGGCCTGCCTTACAATTCGGTGTAAAGTGACTTCAGAGATGCTGGCATCCCCAGTCACAAATCTCCACGGCTCCTGGAATGCCACAATTAGATAGTCATTCCTTTGGATAGTCAAGGCTGTGGCTTCTCTACAGACCCCTGTAAAAACCCAGCTGTCTAACCCGGAAAGCCTTGATCCACCCCTCCCCACTATGTCATGGGGGATGGGGGCCACTATATGAGACCAGAGCTCTAAGGGGGGTGGGGTGGTGAGGGAGCTGGGGGAGGGAGAAGGGAAAGTCTAGTCCAGATTCTAACGTTTCTCATCACAGCTCACTGGAGCTGTGGCTTGGATGTGAAATTCTCCAGGGAAGCACTAAGACACAACAGAAAAAGACCTGGTTTTGGAATCCAAGGACTTGGTGGAAAATCCTGGCTGTGCCACTTACTAGCTGTGTGATCTTGGGCAAGTGACTTCCCCTCTATGGGCCTCAGTTTCCTCATCTGTAAATTGGAGAGGCTGGGCCAGGTGGCCACTACAGTGTTTCCAGCCCTAGATCTATATCCATCTATCTGCTATTCCAGAGGCTCACAGACTCAAAGCTGAGAAGCATTTAGAGATCACCTTGCCCAACCACCCCACTTTCCAGGTGAAGACACTGAGGCCGAGGGAGTTGAAGTGATCACAAGGGGTAGCATGTGACGGAGCCAGGATATGAACCCAGCTCTCCTGCTCTGAACCATTGTACCACACTGCTCTGTGCTCCTGAACTCATGGAGGTGTTCCCAGGCTACCTGAGGTACAGCAAGAAAACAGAAGCCAGCTCCCCTTTCTGTTATCATTACACCCGGAGGGGGGGGAAGACGCAGGGGAGTCACCCAGACATCTGTGCTTCTCGCAGTTTATCTGCTCCCCTCCGGAGCACCCTCCTCCTGTCCACAGACTCAGGACTAGAATTTTCAAACAGCCCCAGACAAGGTTCAGCAACTGCAGAGACCCGAGAAAACCGCTGAGGAGGGAATGGCATCTGAGCTCAGCCAGAGGCTGAGGCCTCCTGGGATTTCTTCCCAGCAGTGGAAGCTGAGTAAGGGAGTCAGGGATGACCTGTTGGGGCACTGCTGCTGCTTTTCCAAAGTGAACAAGGGGACAAGCTGATCTCCAAGGCCCCTCCTGGCTCTGACATTGTTCTGATGGCTGGTCCATCCCAGAATCATAGACCCTCAGGTTAGTAGGAACCCTCAGGGTCACCGAGCCCCGCCTACACCTGAAAAGAGCCGCTTTACAGCCTACTGGGCAAATCATCACCCACTTGTGGCTGGAAGATCTCCAGTGAGAGGGTGCCCACCTCCTCCAAGATGGCCCACTCCACTTTGGGACAGGATTTTTTTTCCTGACAGCAAGCCAAAATCAGAACTGCTGCATGGGCAACGGGGGTCTGACGGAAGGTAGCCAAGTACCTAGCGCAGCAGGCAGGGCTTCAGCCAAGGTGTTAAAATGTAGAGGGCACAGACAGCACTTAAGCTGGTGAAAGAATGAAGGGACACAGGGGCAGCTAGGTGGTGCAGTGGATAGAGCACCGGCCCTGGATTCAGGAGGACCTGAGTTCAAATCCGGCCTCAGACACATAATACTCACTAGCTGTGTGACCCTGGGCAAGTCACTTAACCCCAATTGCCTCACAAAAAAAAAATGGAGGGACAACTCAGCTTAGAACCTGGTGGGCAAAAATTGAGAATGCTCAGTTAAAATGATAAGCTATCAGAGTTGATCTGGATGTGGGTCTATCCTGGGAAGGCAGTCTTGACTGCCTGTTACAGCCCTGCCTGTAGGAACTGAGGTGGGAAGGTGACCAGGGGCTCTTACCTCAGAGTCTGCGACATTTAAAAAATTTTGTTACAACTGTCTTTCCATGGATTGGTCTCCTTTGTAATCCCAGGCCTTTTAAACCACTGCACAGTGTTTTAAAGCGAGTCCACTGACAGCCTAAGGAGTCCAGGACACCAGAGAGGTGAAAAACTAACCCTGGGTTTAGACCATGGCTCGTCCCTGGTAGTGTTGCAGAGAAAAGCAGGTTTCCCTCTGTCCTCCCAGCATCCAGTCTTGCAGGAGGGCTAACAAATAGGACTTTCTTTTTGATAGGCCAGTCCAACAGCTACGTGTTAGCCCACATCAACGGGCACTTGATTTGGGGCTAACGAGGCAGGAATAGGATTATTAAGAATTGGCATAAGCTCTATTGCACCTTTCTGTTCCCTTTTTAAAGGGGCTTTTGGGGGGAAATCTGTATCCTCTCAGCCAAGTGAAACAGAAACCAGGATGGGTTGGGGCTGAACAAGTGGCCTTTTGGCACCTGAAAAGAGTTAACTGCAAGGCCTCTATCCCTGGTAACTAAAACCTATCCTAGCCCAGGGCTGCTTGACCTTTTCTGTGTCCAGGACTCCTTGGGCAATCAGTCTAGTGAAGCCATGGGTCCCTTCTCAGAATAAGGTTTTTAGATAATTGAACGAAATGCCAAATTTCAGGTAGAGGTTGGTGAAAGATGTAATTTTTTTTCCCCATCCAAGTTCATGGCCACCCTGATCTCTCCAGGTCAAGAACTCTTATTCTAGGCCAAAGACGAGAATAGCTGAGCGTAAGAAACATAACCCAGACGCCAAAGGGTTGACTGCTCTAAGCTCACCCTTTACCCAAGGCAACCTTGAGGACCCCAGGATGCTCCATGGGGCCAAACTCTCGCCCTGTGACTACTGGGATAGAAACGCCAAGGCCAGGAGGGAACAACAAAGAATCTTGGTAAAGGGCCTTTGGGTCTTTCCCTCTCTCAGATTATGGGGAGCAGCAGAGGAGGAGGAGAAGAGGATGTGGAGGAGACAGCTGCACACAGAAGACTGGTGTGCCAAGTGAGCTTAGCCAAATCCAGACGGTAGGAAAAACAAAACCCTTTTTATTTCATTCAGGAAGCGGAGAATTTTCGCAGCGTGATGACGATCAAAGCCAGGACCACAGAGGTGCCCAGCAGGGCGGCGATCACGATGGCAGCAATGGCTCCGGGGCCCAAGGACCCTAAGGAAGGCAGAAGGAGATGGGACAGGCTGAGAATCCAAGCCTAAGCACAGAATTCAGAACAGGCACTTCCATGGCCCAAAGGCCTGGTGTTTGGAGGGTGCCCAGACTGTGACCCGAAGAACCACAGGGCGGATGGGACCTTAGAGGTCATCCAGGCCAAACCCTTCCCAAATCAGGATTATCATCCATAACATCTTCACCAAGGGGTCACCCAGAGCAAAATGAATGGGAGGAATATTGATTGAGGAATAAAACTAACGTTTGGTGTTTCTGTCATTAATTCAATCATTCAGCAGTCATTTACGGAGCGTTTTGTCATGTACACAAATCTATACTAGATGCTGTCTTCCTTGGTCTATATCCTTCTAAGACATTAGACTGAAAAGTCCATGTCACTACCACGGGCCAGCTGTCTCTCACAGTTCTGAGACAGACGCACCTACCTGGTGCATAGGAGCACGGGATCAGAGATGCAGAGGGTTAGCTAGTCCAATTCCCAAATTTTACAGATGTGGAAACTGAGGCCCAGAGAACTGAAGTGACTTGTCCAAGATCCCGCAGGCAGTAAGCATCAAAGGTGGAAAATTCAGATCTTCTGACTCAAGAGCTAAGCATTTCCCCACCATGCCACGCTGCCAGATTGGAAACAACTGTGTCTTAGCTCCTCAAGTGCCTAGCTCAGTGCTTTGGATACCACCAAACAAACGTTTGTTGAATGAAGGAGGAGGCAGCTGGTTGTACTAGGAGAGTCTGGATTTGAAGTCAAAGGAGGTGAGTTTGAATCTTTGCCTTCCTGTGTGACCTTGGGCAAGTTACTTTCCCATTTGGGTCTCAGTTTCCTTATCTGTAGATTATACACACACACACACACACACACACACACTAAATGATCTCTGGGATTGAACCTTAGTGTTGGGAGGGGGGGTGGTGTTGATTATTGTGGGGAGAGAAGAGTCTCTCTTAGCTCCTCCCCCATCCAAGGGCCCCTGAAAAGAATCAGGTCTTCCCTTACCAGTCCCATCATCCAGCCGGTACAGATGGGTAGTGTCCTCTGGCTCATACTCTGAGGTGTAGAGGGGGAGGTCTGTGGCATCAGAGGCATGGGTGTGGGTGGTGCTTTCGAAGGGGCCCACTCCCGATGGCAGCTCCCCTGGGTCGTTCCACAAGGTAGGAACAGGGCCTTGGGGATACTCTGCTGGAAAACAAAACAGAGAGAGAGATGACAGGAGCAGGACGGGAACAACATCTGTACTACGGTCAGGCATTGACCACCACCACCAACCCAGTGCCTAGTGAGATACTGGAGGAGTCACTATGCACCAACATCTGAAAGGCCATTCTTAAGAAGGCTGAAATGGCTAATCAACACAGGTTTGGCAAAGGAAAGACAACCTAGCACTGCAGGCTACTAAGAATTTGGCACCTACTGAATCCCCAGAAAGACCCAAACAGGTGGCCAGAATTATAGACCAGAATGCTTGCTATCCTTCAAAAACTCGAAGATGACAAATCCTCCTACTACAAGTCAATCCAAGAAGCATTTATTAAGCACCCACCATGTGCCAGGCACCGTCATAAATGATGAGAAAGCACAAAAAAAGCAAAAATCAGTCCCTCAAGGGGCCCATGTTTTAATGATGGAGAAAACATACAAACTACTACGTACAAATAGAACATAGAGAAGAAAATTTAGAGATAATGTCAGAGGGAAGGCACTGACGTGAAGGAGAGTCGGGCCAGGCATCATGCAGTAGGCAAGACTGTGCCAAAGACAGACCCCAGAACACCCTGGAGAATTCAACAAATGGGCTATCCCGGAACTGGACCGTCTCACAGACAAAACTGTTGTCCACAACTGCCTGGACATATCACTCATCTAGAAAAACTGAAGAACAGCATTTTTATAGGTGTCACCATACCAAGTGCTCATAACCTCCAAGCTACAGATAATGAAAAAAAACATAAAAAAAAAAACTACCAAAAGGTAGAGATCTAGTAGAAGAAACTAAAACCATATGGGTATAGGACGAGGCACCTGTCAAGCCCATCATCCTGCCTGCTACTGGATTTGTCCCAGGGATGCTTCCAATAAGCCTATAAAAGAAGGGCTTACATGGGGCAGCTAGGTGGTGGAGTGGATAGAGCACTGGCTCTGGACTCAGAAGGACTTGAGTTCAAATCCGGCCTTAGATGCATAACATTTACTAGCCATGTGACCCTGGGCAAGTCACTTCACCCCATTGCCTAGCCAAAAACAAACAAACAAACAAACAAAAAAAGGGCTTACAGCCTAACACTTTTATTAATCTATAAACAGCAGATATTTTGTCCACTTATGGTACAATCTAATGCATATTAAAATAAAGAATTGTAGCACTGCAACCTATCCTGGTAAGGTAAGAATAAAACATTATTTAATAATAATAACTTGCATTTTTATGGCACTTTAAAATCTACAAAGTGCTACCCTCTCAAGTGACCTTTGAGGTAGATTTACAGATCAAAGAAACTGAGGCAGAGAGGGGAAGAGGCGTGTCCAAGGTCACACAGGTGCTAAATGGCGGAGCCAGATTTTGAACCTACGTTGACTCCAAAGCCGATTAGAATCCTTCCACTATAGCACCATGCCTCAGTCAGCTCAGTCCCGTTACTCTCCTTGGGAGCTCATGGGCTATTTCCTACTGGAACTTGTCGCCATTAGCATTCTCTTTGCTTCAGTTAACCTTCATTTATAGACTTACTAGTTTACGTGTTGTCCCCATCACCCCCCCACCCCAGAACGTAGACTCCAAGAAGAAAGGGGACGTGTCTTTGTATCTCCATCCCCTAATATAACACCTGGTACCTTTTGGGGGAAGGCGGTGTTTAGATCTGCAATTTCATCGGAGCAGGGAGCTCTCCAGCGAGGCAAGCCCTCTACTGATGCCCATCTGAGAACTGCTCGGGCCACTCTAAGGACTTGCCCGGGGTGGCCCAGCCAGGATGAGTCAGAGAGGGCCACAGCTCAGCTTTTCCTGGCCGTGATGCTGCTTGTCGGATGGGGCCGAACCGGGTCATGAGGCTCCTGCCTCCACCCTCCATTCCCTCATCTCTCCCACACCCAAACTCCCTGAACATCGCTCCGGTCAATCCTCATCTTCTCTTCCTGCTTTCTATACCACGTCCCTGTTCCTCTTATTTTTTCTCTTTCATGTGTCACAGTATAAAAAGCCCTCTAGACTTCAAATTCTACCTCCAACCCTTAGCAGCTGCACGACCGTGAGCTCTCCTGAGCCTCAGTTTCTCCATATGAAGACTTGTAGGGCATATCACAGGGGATCCTCTTTCAGGTACTGGTTGGAGCTAGAGCTCTCTATTACTGCTTCCAGCTCGGAGATTCTGTGGATCTGTAAAATGGGAGTATGAATACCTACTACCAAACTCCCTGGGCTGGAGCGAGGTTCAAGTGAGATTGTGTTTGTAAAACCGCAGAAACGGCACCCGGCATCCGCAGCCACAGCATATGCCACGATATCGGAACACCACACTCTTCCAGCCCAGTTGTACCATTAGGTTGTTTCTGGCAATCATAAAGAAACCCTGCAGTAAATTATCTTGATCACGTACATTTTTCTTCCTTTGTGACAGTGTTTGTTCTATCATTCTCTACTTCGAGAAGCTGTGATTCCATCAGTGTGGGTCACCCCTCCACTAACGCAGACTGCAGCCCCTTTACAACATGAGATGAACTTCAAGGGCTGGTGAGCCCGGTTTCACCTCTCAAGGGTGGTGTCTGGATGACAACTACACATTCTGTCCCTGGGCCTAGACTTGAAGTCTTTCCAGCTTGGAAAAGATTTCTGAGATTGAGTTCTGACAGCACAGCTTCTCAGAAGCTAGGGGTCCCCTCCATACCATCAATCAATCAATGAACATTAAGTACCTACTATGTACCAGGCACAGGGCTAAGCGCTGGACCTTGATGAGGCTTTGGAGGAAGCAAGGCTGTTTAGCTCATATTCCAATAATAGGTCAAAAAGTAGAATTTATTCTAGGAGAAGAAGGTTGGAGCTGGGGAGAGAGGGAGGGAAGGACTCTGAGCCCCCTTCTCTAAGATCAATGGGGTGATGCATGCCAGCTCCTTACAGCATACTGAGACTAACTCACCACTTACAGGCACACATATCACAAACTTCATCAGTCAGCAAGCACTGATTAGCCCTTACTGTGTGCATATACAAGATGCAGGCACAGTAATGTCAGAGGGGAGATGGTGTGTATGTGTGTGTGTTGGGGAGAATTCAAGAAAAGCTTCTGGCTTTTTCTGAGATTTGAGCTGCGCCCTGAAGGAAGCCAGGAGGCAGGGGTGAGGAGGGCAGTCCAGGCATGGGGCACAGCTGGTGCAAAGGTGTGGGGAGCAGTTGGGGGGGAACACAGAGTAAGCCAGAGTAACTGGAACATTATATGTTTGGAGGAAATCAGATACAGAAAGACTGAAAAGGTACAAAGGGGCCAGGAGGTGAAGGGCTTTAAAAGCCAAGCAGATCTTTTCTACTTGATCCTGAAAGTAAGCGTTTACTGAGTAGTTTATCATCTCTGTGCCCTTACACCTGGTATAGCGCCTGGCACACAGTAGGTGCTTAAGAAATGCTTCTTGAATAACTCAAGTGTAAAGTGATTTGAGGCGGGGTAGCTCGACACACCAAGGGCAGGCTGCTGGAACTTTCTAGCTTTTTGTCATTTGTGCTTTTCTACTATGGAGCGCGTGGCCCTCAGCAGCGTGGGACAGCCGGCACCCACACTGGTCCTCTCTTTCTAGGATCCCCTGTCTTATAAAGGAATCTGCCCAGAGGCCAGCGGACCTGTGGCTTGTCCACACTTCAAGGGCCCCCTCAGGGCTGGAGGGGCCCAGTTTGCACTGTTACCCTCCTTCCCTTCCCTAAGGTGGCTACCAACCTTTCTGAGCAGCAAATGTGTTATGTGGGATGGCTCTCTCGATGATAATAAATCCATAATAATTCACTTTTAAAAATAATCAATGTTTCTTTTTATTGTAGCAGTGAACTGGGAGTCTTGGTCTGAGAAGACTGACCCTGAATCATAACCCTTTCCTCCTCTCAATCACTAATGACATTATTTTTTAAAATCCAGCACCTAAGACACTATGACCACTCTCCCCCACCCTCCCCACCCCTACCCCGGGTATCTCTCTTAGGAAACTTGGAAGGTTTTATTGTCTCAGAAATCTTGCCCGGGGAACACCCCCATCATGCCCAGCACTGTTGGGTGCCATATGTGACATGGTGCCCACCTTTAAAGGGCTCCTGTACCACCAAACCCACCTTTCTCCATCTCCATACATATCCCAGGGCAACAGCCATCCAATCTCTCCAGTGGCTCTGCAAATACCCAGGAGTCCTGCCCCCAGCAAAGACACTCATTTGGTCTCTGAGCAGGACTTGTGGGTGGCTGTCTTCATGGATGATAAAAGGGTGACCTGGGTCACTCTCCAATCACAGATGCACAAAACCTCATCTCAAATTTAGACAGGCCCTTGGCAGCCACCCGGCTACACCCTGGCCTGAATAGGAACTTTCTCTATAACATCAGCCTCAGTTTCCTCATCTGTAAGATGAAGGGATTAGACCTTGAAGGCCCCTTCAAGCTCAGAGTCTATCCCCGTGACGTTCTTGGGGAGCAGCCTGCCAGCCTTCACCTGGAGACCTCTCCCAGGTAGCCTAATCTGCTTTTGAACCTCTCTGACCGACCCGAAGCTTTTCATTATGTCCAGCCCAGATCTTCCTCTCTGCCACTCCACAGCTGCTCCCAGTTCCTCCTCTGAGGCCAAACCAAGAAAAGCTAATCCCTTTTCCACGAGGCAGCCCTTCAAACATGGGGAGCCTGATCTCATGTGCCCCCCGAACCTTCTCTTTCCAGGCTAAACACCCTCATTTCATTCCACACCACTCTCGGGACGTGACTTGAGATTTCCAGCCTGGCCGCCATCCTCCAGACCGGGGTTCACGGACCTAAAGGGTCCTTGGATGGATTTCAAGGGGTACGTGACCTTGGACGGAAAATAATTATATCTTTATTCCAATAGAATTGGTTTCCTTTGTACCTTTTTTTAAATCATTCTCTGCTTTGAAAAATAGGATTCTAAAAACATGATTCTATGGATCCCACTTGCCCCCAGAATTCACCAGGCTGCTGCGC